CCCCCCCCCCCCCCCGTCTTCAGTGCCTGCTTTTCAGGCTGAGACCTTAAGCAGAACTCTTCTGGAAGGAAAACTCACGATAAACAGCAATGAAATGCATTCAGGATGGGAGCTTCTTATGTATGCCTCAGGGCTTAGACGCATCCTGCCTTCTGCGTCCCTGAACGTTTCCGACCAATGTAATAAAATGATGGAGTTCTTCACCTTTAGAAATAGTAAGCAACCCCCGGGTGCTATTTTGTATAAACCAATGCAGAGTTAAAAGCGTTGTTGTTGTGTGCCTTCAAGTCGTTTCCGACTTAAGGCGACCCTAACGCAAAGCTATCAAGGGGTTGTTTGTCTTGGCAAGTTTCAAAGCTATCAAGGGGGTTTGTTTCCATTGCCTCCCTCTGAGGCTGAGAGAGTGTGACCTGCCCAAGATCACCCAGTGGGTTCCCATGGCCGAGTCCTGGTCTTCAGAATCGTAGTCCAACACTCAAACCACTACACCACACTAGATGCCAACATGTATTGGATTCATAACAATCCTATCTTCTTAATCAATATTTTTTTTCCTTTCCTTTCCTGTCCTTTGTCTCTTTCTTTCCAGGCAAGTTCTCTGTGTATGGGCCATCCTCCAGTCCTCCTAACCCTGCAAGGACCAACTTCAGCACCAAGCAACTCACGGAGTTGGAGAAAGAATTTCATTTCAATAAATACCTCACCCGGGCTCGACGCGTGGAGATCGCAAAAGCCCTGGGCCTCAATGACACTCAGGTGAAAATCTGGTTCCAGAACCGGAGGATGAAGCAGAAGAAAAGGGAGAGAGAAGGCGTGCTGATCCCTCCCCCAGGGCTGCCTTTTCACATCTCCCCCCCAGATTCAAGCCCCCCACAGCCAGGGCTGTGCTCAGTCCCCTCTTCTCCTACCCAGGGCTCACCCTAATGGTGGGGCACCATTACAGAGACTTTGTGGAAATGGGGTGAGATTGACAAGACTCTGCTCCACCTCGAAAGCAAAATCGGGTTGAGGGGGTAACCTCTGAAACTGCACTGGAGATCCTGCACATTTTCTAATTCAGGGGGAACCCCGAGACCATCCATCGTTGCACAAAGGTTTATGACAGCACCCGAGAAAAAGTCGGCTTTCTCTTGTGTAGGATGAAGCCATGTTACTTTTGCAGAGAACTGATTCAAGGCACAGGGTGGCCTGTTATGACTTGTTTACATTTTATTTATATGCATTTTCAGGGAAAGGCTGCTCTCAGCCACTACATGCTGCTAAACTTTGCTGTTGAGTTTGTTGAGTTCTGCTTGTTCACTTAAAAGGAAGTCCCCGGGACTGATTTTTGAGAACTGTTTATGGGATCTCAGCCCTTGCTGCCTTGGACTGTTTTGATCTGTCTGTCTGTCTGTCTGTTTGCTTTTCTTTCTTTCTTTCTTTCTTCCTTCCTTCCTTCCTTCCTTCCTTCCTTCCTTCCTTCCTTCCTTCCTTCCTTTCTCTTCCTGCAACCCCACTGTTTTAGAGAAGGGTCATTGTATAGCCATGGGGGGTTCTACAAAGCAAAACCAAAGACAGGGAGCTTATTTGTCTTAAAAGACAACTTCTGGTCATCCTTTTAAAATGTTAAGACTTTTGATTTGACATATTGCACAGAGCTTCCTTCCCAGCGCTTGTGTGTAAACACAATCATTAGCTAGACCCCAGTGGATCTACTAGGGGAGTGACTTCATTTCTCTTCCTTTCCAGAGATCAGACCAATTGTCTAAAAAATCCAGCCCAAACCAATGGAACCTTACATTAAACATTTGCAAAACTATACTAGTTTAAGATTTGTTATAGTGGGACTGTTGTTGCTGTTGTCCTCGTGTGCCTTCAAGTCGTTTCCCTCTTATGGCAACTCTAAGGGAATCTAGGGAATTTGTTGGGGGGGGATTGTCTTTGCGTCCCTCTGAGGCTGAGAGTGTGTGACTTGCCCAAGGTCACCCAGTGGATTTCCATGACTAAGTGGGGATTCCAACCCTGCTGTCATAGTCCAATGCCCAAACCAGTACACCATGCTACAGCTGTTACAAATGCAGTTCATATCTGGGGTGGACGGGTTGAACTTTGCATTCAAATATAGGGTTAACTGTGCATTTGTTAATACCATTGTTTAAGATGAAAGCATCCTAAGGCCTAGGGAGGGAACCTGTTTTCTTTTTACTGTCATGTTTCCTACCCTTCTAATCATACATTTGGACCAGCAAAGAATTGGGTTCTTCAGATAATCAGCAGGAACATTTATTCAAACAAACAATTGCCTGTTGTAATTTTGCATGGTGCTCCATAGCATGATAAAAAGAGTATGAACCTTAATCCAGAAGAATGTCAGGAAGAGCATTAAAGGACTAAAAGAAAGAGAAGCAGGTTCCTTCAGATGACTTTTTTCACATGCAATTCAGACCTGTTCTTTGACCTTCAACTGGGGTTTTGGTACAGATGGTCTGGTTACAACTCTTGCCAATGATTTTAAGACAAAGTCTTTGGAAATCCACCTTATAGATTTCAATTCAATTTTGGTGTGTGTGTGAGAGGGAGGGAGAGAGAATGAGTGTTTGGGAGAGTAAGAGAGCAGATGTCTTGCCTTAATACAGAGGGAAACAAAACCATAATTATTGAGAAGAGGGGAGAAGGAGCACGGTTGTCTCAGGAAAATGTGTCAGCTGGAGGTAAGGCTCTCATCCTGTTGTGTGAGCCACACACAAGGCTAGAATTAATAAATTTTGATTGCAAACTCTTTTTTCACTTTGTTCAGTTTTTACACTTTCTCCGTGACAGTGGGAGTGTGGTGGGGAATTGTTTTAAAGCCATCTCTGTATCACTCCAGCTGCTCTGTGGTTTTAAAACCTCTAGGACTTCCATCTTCCCAGTAGACTGTCATTCCCTGGCTCTTTCATAGGGCACTGCCCCTTTGGAGAGACTTTAATGATTTGCCAAGAAGCAAAGGCTATTCCTAACATCTCAGGCGGGAGGAGAGGGATCCCATAACTAGATCTAGAAGGCCTTGGACAGTAAAGCTTGGAAGTACTTGGGAGCTGAAGACCTTTCCCAGTCAACTGAAATAGATCAGTTTAAATCCAAATCTGCCTGGTTCAAACTTGAGGGCAAGAAGTTGAGTCCCACAGAGCCAGTGAAGACTTGCTCTTGAAGTACAACAAGATATATGCACAAGGTTGGGAATAGAGGGTTTTTGCTGAAGATCTCACCTCTAACTTTCACCCTTTGTATGGAGGGAGAGTGTTTGATCTCGCTACTGCCAAACTCCCTTAAAGTTATCTGGCCTTCCCTTTGGCAAAATGAATTAGAGTTGCTAAGATTCAAAGATATAGCAGTGTTAGTCTGTAGAATTAATATGTAGAGAGATCTTGTAGCACCTTTGAGACTCACTGAAAGAAAGAAGTTGGCAGCATGAGCTTTCTTAGACTTAAATCTACTTCCTGAGATGTATTTGGTGCTAAGCATTCTCTAGTTCACTTGAACTACATCCTTGGAGCTCTCTGTAGCAAAGGATGCTAAAATCTCACACAACCACAAATCCCAGGACTCTAGCATAAGACTGGCAGATAAAGTGGCATCCAAGTCTTTAAAGCTGAGACAGTGTGGCTTGCCCAAGGTCACGCAGTGGGTTTCAATGGCTTAGTGGGATTCAAACGTTGGTCTCCCTAGTCCAACACTCTACTACACAGCGCTGGCTCCTGAGGCAGCAAGCTACCTCCAGGATCTTTTCTTTAGGTAATACTGTAGCTCCATTTAAATAGCTGGTGCCTTGGATCCACAGTTCCCCTTGTTGTTGTTGTTTAAAGGAAGACATAGGATCATCAGCCTCCTTCCTCAAGAAATGCTGGAAGGAGGGAGGTTGTAAATATCAGCCTGTTTGCATCCTTTGAAGGAAAACAGGGTCAGAGAGAGTTCAGGAGAAGGAGAGGAGGGGGTCCCTCTCTCCCTCTCAATATTTCTCCAAGCTGTGGATGCAACACTGCAAGTCCCAAACATCTGGAATGTCTATGTGTTTAAAGCACAGGCTGAGCAAAGATCCTGCAAGCATTTATTGGAGATCCTGCAATCCTGCAAGCATTTACTGGAGAGTAAGCCCCATGGAAACCAACCAGAAGTCCGTCCCCCCCCCACACACAAATGTGATGCTGCAAGAGGAATGAAGCTGGTACAAAAAAAGGGATAGGTCTGTAACCATAAAGATTAAAGAGATTTATTTGGGCATAAACATTTATGGGTGAGAGCCTGTGAATAAAATGTTATCTTCAGCTGAGAAGGAAAGAGAGAAAGTGATAGAGGTTGTAAATAATAGGTCTAAAGGCTCTTAAAATACCAAGAAGGAGAGTTTGCAACAGCAGAGGAGAGACAGTGCAATCGTTTCAGTGTGTGTCCACACTGTGCAATTATAGTTGTGTCATAACATTTTCACTACCATAGTTACTTTCTTGACATTCTGGGATTTTTAGCTTCTTGTTGTTGTGTGCCTTCAAGTAATTTATGGACTTATGGCAACCCTTTTATGGGGGTTTCTTCTCAATATATGTTGTGGGGGGAGGGTTGCCTTTGCCTTCCTTGAAGACTGAGAAAATGTGACTTGCACAAGGTTTCAATGGCTTAGCAGGGATTTGAACCATGGTCTCCAAAATCCATAGTCTAATGCTCAAATCACTATGCCACCCGCCTTCTCTCTCTCTCTCTCTCTCTCTCTCTCTCTCTCTCTCTGAGATGCTAAGTATTCTCTAGTTCCCTTCCTTGAATTACACCACTGGAGCTCTCTGTAATAGAGGATTCTAAAATCTCACAAAACCACAAATCCCAGGATTCCATAGCATAAGACTGTGGCAGTTTAAGTGCTATGAAAGTGTTATAGCAGCATGGATAGACCCTCTGTTGTAGGCAAAACAAGTTGAGAACCAAATTCACACCTGAGTTGCTCTCTGTCAACCATCACCACATATGTCAGAAAGATCTTGGTGCAGGAATTATGAATTCAGTATGTCACTTTTCCTTCCATTGTCCAAAAGATTGTAATGTTTTCTCCTGCCTACTGCTAATATGCAGTTCAGATCAAGTGTTGGCATGCTTAGTCTCTCCAGTGCAGTTCTAAATTTCATAGAACAGTATCAGTCGCTTGTGTATCCTGCCCACCTACCTCCTGTCCTCACAGAAACTCAAGGCTGCCTGTTTGAGTTTGGTTTTTTCCCCCCCCAAAGAAAAGTGGGATGGATTCAGAGTACCAGAGGAAAATGCCATCTTTATCAGGTAAACTCATATAAAAAACCCTTCAGGGCCAAGAAATTAAGAATTTGAACAGTGGTCTTTTTAGGACACCATTCTAGCTGCTGCATCACACACACTGGTTTTCCATCTAAAAGCAGCTAAGCCTGCAATGCTAGACATGCTTAGCTGAATCTCACTGAATGCAGTAGAGTTGATTGTAGAGTAGACATGCAGTATATCATTATCCTTTAGTCTCCTTTTCCCTTATAACAGATCTATTAGGTGGCAGCTAGTGGCCTCTATGGCAGTGCGATGGTGAATCACTCTGAGTTTTAGTCCAAATTTTAAAGGCACTAACTATCAAAGGTGCTGATGTTACAAGGTTCAGCACCCTGGACACCTCTTTTAAAGCTGAAATTAAAACCCAGAGCAGATTCATCATCCCACTGACATGGGATCTACTACAGCAGGGGTAGGCAACCTTTCCCCTTTAAGGGCCGAGGGACTTCAGCTCCCAGAAGCCTCAGCCATGTTGGCCAATAGTCCCATGTTGGCCAATAGCTCCTGGGATTCTGGGAGCTGAAGTCCCTCAGCCCTTAAAGGGGAAAGGTTGCCTACCCCTGTACTACAGCAACTATTGACTTCTTTTGTCTGGCCTTGGGCCACAAGCTCTACAAAACAGTATCTCTCTTTCCTTCCTTCCAGTTTCTTTCCTTCCACCCTGTATTTGTGCAGCTGTATTCACATGCAGCTACTGCCTGCAGTGTTTCTTGCTCACCAGGCTTCTCTGTGGGTATTTAGGCAATTAATGTTTCCTCTTTATTTGCCAGAAAGTGTAGGTTTTTAAAAATGCACTGAGCTATATAAGAACATACCTACAATAAACATGTTGGCTGGAATCCTATTGGTGACATACCTGTGTAAGTCACTTTGCAAGGGCAGGAAGAAGAAGATATTTACTATCTTCTTCCATAACCATCCCACAAAGAAGTCAATATCCCTGATAGGGGAGTCTGCTCACATAGTCATATAGTGGCCAGGGGAGGGTGGGAACAGCACAGTGGCATCTCTTTCCTTCATCTGCACTAAATACAGTCAGAGGATAGCCTGGAAGATCTATCTGTGAGAAGTGTCACACTCTGCACATGGAAGGTGGGATGTTGGCCAAATTTGACTTTCAAACCGCCTTAGGAGTTTATCACAAGGGGGAAATCCTGTGCAGAAACGGGATTTAAAAGGTGGGGGGAATCTGCAAAAGTGGTTAGATTTTCACACACATTGCTGTTAAAATGGGGTTAACCCAAACAGAAAGTAGTCAGAAACTGCTTTTTTTTTTTACTTTCGGGATTTTCCAAAAGTAAAAAGAAGCAGTTTCTGACTACTTTCCATTCGGGTTAACCCCATTTTAACAGCGACGTCATCTGAAAATCTAACCGCTTTTGCAGGTTTTTTTTCCAATTTAAAGCCCCGTTTCTGTATGGGATTTCCCCTGTGTGATAAACTCCTTAGTAAGGTAGAAATATAAATAATATCTAAAGGTCAATCATTTCTCAGTAAATTGCTATATATTCATGGAGGGCAGGACTATCAGTAGTTACTAATGGCTTCCATTATCATTGGCAGTGTGTTCTTGTATGCCAGTTACTGGAGAACAGAAGTGGGAGAGTGTTCTTGCATTTATATCCAGATTGTGGGCTTCCCCTCTGCAACTGGTTGGCCTTCGTGGGAACAGAATACTGCGCCAGATAGGCCTCTGACTTGATCCAACAGGACTCTTTTTAGTTTTCTATCATCCTATTATCCAATGTACTGTACTGTACAGCTAGTACACTTGTGGAGAATATCTCTATCTCTATCTCTATCATCTCTATCTCTATCTCTGGGCTAGCTTCTTGAAAAAGCAGTGACTGCAGTGATAAAGGGGATTTTCAAAATGGTTAGTTTGGTAGGGTCATCACAACAGAGCAAAAAGTGCTGCAGGGCAGGCAAAAATCTGAATTGCTCGGATCCATTTAAATAGGCCTTGGCCAGAGGCAGCCAAACTGCATCATTTTTTAAAAAGATGCTTATAAGGTAAAGTATTGATAAAGCAAAGTACCAACATTGAAAAGAATCTAGAGGGCACAAGGAGTAGATCACAAAATGGAAGAGCTGTAGGACAGCACATGGTTTATTTATTTATTTATATTTTATATCATTTGTATGCCCAAAGTGGGATCCAAGGTAGCCCTCAGACTCACTTAAAAAACCTTGCATGCAGAAGATCTCAGATTCAACTCTTGATATCTTTGAGCTGAAAAAGATTTTTATCTGAACACTGGGATACAATAATGCTTCTCCTACTGAGCTTGATAGGCCATAAATCTGATTCAATGAAAGGCAGGTGCATATGTTCCTCCATGGTGTATCTTTATGGCTCAACAGAATTCTTGGGGATGACCTAGGATGCATTCACACTGCAGAAATAAAGCAGTTTGATACCACTTTATCTGTCCTGGCTCCATTCTGTGGAAGCCTGGAATTTGTAGTTTGATGAGGTATTCAGCCTGGTCTGTCAGAGAGCTCTGGTGTTTCACCAAATCCCAGGATTCTGTAGGATAGAGCCATGACAGTTAAGGTGGCATCAAACTGCTTTATTTCTGCAGTGTGGATACATCTCTAGAACCACTGTTCACCTAGGAACCTCATACAATTGCCAGTTAAATCATTGGATTCATCTCCTGATCTTTCCTTTTCTTTGTCACTGGATATTTCTTGCAACAACTGAAGCAACAGGCCTGCTACATTTTGTCTTTCTTGGTTCTACTGAGCAAAAACATAGGAGACTATCACACAGGGGGAAATCAGGGGATTAAAAAGGCATTTTCCTGGGACAGTTGCGTGACCGTGGCAAAGATTTTCACACACATCGCAATTTGAGGGGACCTATCCCTGGAAGAACCAGGAATGCTCTAGCAACAAATCATTCACAGGGAAATCACAAGTGTTTTTTTTTTTTTCCTGTGGAAAGACTTTTAGCTCTGTTTAGTTTTAGTATTCCCAGCTTTGGATTTTGCATCAGGCTTTGGTTGGTGGAACACAGCAAGCCATTATTCTCATTGGATTTGGTTTTGTCCCTCTGGAGTCATAGAATCATAGAATCATAGAATCATAGAGTTGGAAGAGACCACAAGGGCCATCCAGTCCAACCCCCTGCCATGCAGGAACTCCCAATCAAAGCATCCCTGACAGATGGCCATCCAGCCTCTGCTTAAAGACCTCCAGGGAAGGAGACTCCACTACTCTCCGGGGGAGTGTGTTCCACTGTCGAACCGCCCTTACTGTCAGTCCCTAAAGAGCAGTGTCAAGTCTCTTTCTTCAAGTCTCAAGTCGAGTCTCAAGTCCTTGCAAGACACTTTCAAGTAGAGTCTCAGTTCTGGGAATCAACTTTAACAGAAAAAGAGGAGATGGTATGCATTTCTCAGAGAACAGAAAGTGTGTTAAGCAATAGGCTTGAGGTGGGGCTTGAGGTTTGCTTGGCAGCCTGTCCCAGCTGCACATTGGAGGAGTTTTTCAAAAGTTTTAGAATGATCTTTCCACCTCAAGCCCATTGCCTAACACATTTGCTGTTCTTCTCTAAGACATGTGCTCTGTGCTCTGGGGGTGGATTTTGCTTGCTGCTTGAAGTGAATGATACCAGCAAGTCAGTCACCAAAAATATTCAAGTTGTGAGTCAAGTTCAGTCAGTGCTTCATTTATTGCTGAATTGAGTTCAAGTAGAGTTAATGAAGTGATTTGAGTCTGAGCCAATCGACTCAAGTCTGCATCACTGCTAAAGAACTAAATATGCTGAGAACTGAATGATTCTTACTTACCTTTTAGTTACCCAGGGATCAAGGGTAGTGGTGGTAAAATACCTAAGGCATGGGCCATTGGAGGCCAGACACTGAAAAAACAAACAATACACTGCAGACTAAACTTTGCTTATCTCATCTCAAAAACCCAGAGAGCATCAATAATATCTATTGCTAAATTTAGGAAGAAGAATTGATTATATACCTTGCCCATGCCCAGAGCCAGCTCTAGGCAACCTTGTTATCTACAGTTAGATAAGCTCTCTGTGAAACTTTGGGCACCTTGTGTTGTTTCTGCTTGCTCTCTCTGTCTTTTTGAACAGAGTAAAGCAAAATAGCCACAGCTTCCTAAGGCAGACAGATTCAGGAGGATTCTCCACAATTTCCCCCTTTGTTCAGCTGGTGGGGATTCATTAAAATGTCAGACACTGCTGCTATGAAGACACAGCTTCCTTAACAATTGTTTGATTTTAATTTAATATTTGTATGGTGCATTTCCAACAACAAGGCAGCCCATGAAAATAATGAAAATGTTTTATATATAATGTTTTATATATAAAACATTTGAGCCAATATATCCATGTCAACAGAATATAAAAAGCACAGTATCATAATGCAAGAATCAATGA